CCTGGAGGACCTCAGAAACCGTGGGCAACAGGGGGCCACGGCACTCACTCTAGCCTGGGCAAAAAGAGTGAGACTCTGTCTCAAAAAAAAAAAAAAAAAAGCATGGGTCAGCAAATTTCGTGCAAAGGGCTACAAAGTAAATATTATAGGCTTTGTGGGATATATATGGTCTCTGTGTTTTATCCTTTAATAATGTAAAAAACATTCTTAAAAACCTGGACATAAACAGGCAATAGACTAGATTTAACCCACAGGTCATAATTTGACAACCCTAGTTGGAGAAATGTCCTGAATACCTAGTCTAATGTTCTGTAGACACCTAAGACACATGGCTATATATACCTAAGAAAGGCATAAAAAACAGTTAACTATAAATATAGCATGGTATAAAGACAGACAATTCTCAAATTTTCTTGGTTTGTAAAAGTACAATGTTTTGTTTGAACAGCTTATATTAGGGTGACCATTTTAAAAAGTTGAAATACTTCTTAAGAAAACCAATAAGTGAGTGATTTAAGGATAATCCTTATCATATTCCCTTAATCAACAGTTGATCCTGCCACATTTATAGTATCATTAAAAAAATAAGAAAATCAATGAGTACGTCACACAGAAACATGCTTACTCTTCAGATGAATTTTTTAAAATGAAATCAGCAAAATTTTTAGAATTTTCACCTGCTACAATGTTCCCAGAACGTGCCACAACTTTGAATCCATCAGCTACTTTGTCTACACTATCTCCATGTGTAAGTAAAACAATTTCTTCCTTCTGAAGGCCCCTAAATATACAAAAAATAAAACACAAATATCTTAATTAATATCATGATTAATGGGTTTTTTTGCATTAGAAATACAAGCTTGCCATATGTGATAAGAAAATAGAAAAAGTATGTGACAGTGCAACACCACTAGAATTTAAATATTCTCTTCGTTGTAAAGCCAATAAAAGAATATTAAACCTCAAAAAAGGCAATCTATAAAAATTAAAAACTAATAAACATGAAGTTGACAGTATAACCACACAATTTCAAGAGACTATAAAACAATAATTTCAACATTATATATCAATCAGAATTTATCTTAAGAACAGAGGCATTTCAAAGACCTTAACATTTCATTCAGTAGTCTTATGTCAGTAATCATGTCCACAGTAATAGTACTAGTACTGATATTGCTATTCTGCAGCTATATATACAGATATATGTGTATTGTAAGCTAAAATAAATAATAATTGATGTTATTAGAAATTAAGATTTTCAGTTTAAGAGTAAGGAGACACAAAAATGAAAGGAATTAGGTAAAAACTCTATAATCTTTCATTTTAACTGGAAATAACAGTGTACACTGATGATTTCGTTTTCTAATTCTAAGAGAACAGGGACAGGTGCAGTGGTGCAACCTATAATCCCAGCTACTTGGGAGGCTAAGGCAGGAGGATCACTTGAGCCCTGGAGTTTAGAGTTTGAGATTAGTGTGGGCAACACAGCAAGACCCCAACTCTTAAAAAAAGAAAGAAAGAAGGCAAGAAAAGGTACTACCTAATTGTTTACTGAAAAGTCCAAGAAAAAATGACAATCTAGTAGCAATGTGGACCTCTGGTGCTAAAAAAATTAATAACGTTTAGTTAAGAAAGGGAGGGGGGAGCTATTATGTATTAAAAGATTTAACTAACAATAATCAAATGTAATAAGTAGACTTTCTCTGGACTCTTAAACAAATCAACCATAAAAAGATACTGTTTAGGGGGAAGGGCAACATACCTAACCTAAACATCTGTACCCCCATAATATGCTGAAATAAAAAAAAGATACTGTTTACACTACGAGAAAATCTGGATGAGAATTCGGTATTAAATAATATTAAGGAATAAAAATGTAAATTTAAAATAAAGCAAGAAGATAAAGTACATTAATGATGCCAAAAGGATGTTTTGGGGCTTTGTCGTCACTATGGCTTAGGAATAGCACAGGTTGTGATGGAGTCCCAGAATTTTAGAAATGGAAAGACAGACAAAAAAAATGTTAAATCTTGGCTCATGTCTGTAATCCTAGCACTCTGAGAGGCCGAGACGGGTGGATCATTTGAGTTCAGGAGTTCGAGACCAGCCTGAGCAAGAGAGAGACCCCCGTCTCTACTAAAAATAGAAAGAAAATTAGCTGGACAACTAAAAATATATACATAGAAAAAATGAGCCGGGCATGGTGGTGCATGCCTGTAGTCCCAGCTACTTGGGAGGCTGAGGCAGGAGGATCGCTTGAGCCCAGGAGTTTGAGGTTGCTGTGAGCTAGCCTGACGCCATGGCACTCTAGTCTGGGCAACAGAGTGAGACTCTGTCTCAAAAAAAAAAAAAAAAAGCCAGCCCATAGTCAGTTTTGACTAAAACCTAGGATTGTATCTCCATTTCAGGTAAAAATAAGTTCAGGACTTGAATGTTAAAATTTCTGATCTGTCCAGTTTGGAATAAACTCATTAAGAATTAAATTAGGCACAAGTCAATGGAGCCTTTAAAAATATATGCTAATAAAATAAATCTACAACTAAAAATAAATAGCACAGTTAAAAAATAATAATGAAAAGTACCCTCACTAATTGACATCAGCTTACATTTTAAGAATTTAATGAAGTTAGGGGTAAATTTAGTTTTTTAAAAAAAAATAAAATTTAGATCAAAATGAAGCAAGCGAGTAACTCTACCAACAGTCCACCAAATGGGCTTTCCACAAAGCACAGAAAACACCCCAAAAAGAAAGTAACAAAAACATAAATTTTCTGGTCTTTGAGAAAACCTAATGAAAACTCAGATTTTTATTTATTTAGCAAAGCAAAAGATCAATGATTCTAGGAAGACAGTGAACAGCTCATTCAATTTTTAAATAGATTAGAGCTATAGCATCTTTATTACTTAGCAGTAAAATCAAATAATACATTCATTATATTAAAAAGATCACATGCCAAGGTACAGTTCTGCCTCAACGCAGAGAAAAGTAGAAGGAGGGAACGAAAACATATTTAGAAATGAGTCCAGCAAACGGATGGCTTATTAAGCACATAACAAAAAAAAGTGGTAGGGAAAGAGGTATGCACGTGCATATAGCAGACGCAGAACAGCTTAAAACATTATCCATTTGCCACATCTGGCACACTAATGCATGGACTCACACTCCACCAAAGAGTGGAAAGGGAGAAGTACAAATGTCAGCATCACAATACACAATTCAAAACAGGATTCCAAGGCTGCTTGGAGTGCTTTCATAAGGCTTTTTAAGTGCCTGCCTTATTGCCTATCAGCATCATCACCATCCTCTCCTCTCTTCACACTCAACTAGAAGGCAAACATGACAATTAATTATACCTGTGGCCACTACTATGTCTTTAATTTTGTTTAAGAATTGCAGAGTCTCCAATTTTGAAAAATAACGGTACCAACTTTAAAATAGGTAATCTACTATTGTTCTTACTCATTTAAAAATATAATACCTGAATAATGAACATGTATTATCCACAGTAATGTTGAAAACTCCATCTTCTCTAACACTTTTCTTGTGCACGGTACCTCCAAATACCTTATTCATCATCTGTTCAAAGAGAAAACAAATTAATGTTAAGATAAGTCAAAAGAAAAATATCTGGTCATTTTGTTATGCTGATTTAACAATTTATATTTCTTGTTTTCAAAATGCCTGTTGTTTATACCCAAAAAATAAAGGAAGTTTGATAAATAGATAACTTGGTATTATATATAAAGTTACTAAGAGGCATGGTTATAAAACAAAATTGGATTAGAAATTTGACCTGAGGTTAATTTATGTTAAACACTGGCAGATTTTCCATTTAGTGTACTTTAATTAATTCACCTGTTAAAAATGGAGAGTTCTTTAATATTTACACCTGAGTTTAATTTAAAAGCATTTTAAAAGGTACTTTGAGCTTAGAAAAAGCTAGAGCAGACAAGAACGACGACTGTGGTACCAAAACAGGAATTTAGACAGGTATAAATTCCTCCAAGCTATTTAATCTTTGGCTCCAAAGGAACCATCTGAAAGCCTAGAGTAAAGTTCAGGAAAAGCAGTTACCTCTGATGGAAATGTGAATGGAGAAAAGTAAAAAGAAGGTTTCAAAAGCTGGGCAGGGAGGGAGGGAAAGTGAATGCGTAATAGATATAAAGGAAGCAATGGGAAGTACAGACTTTTTTCTTCTAAAGCAAAGAATTACCAGGAAGCAATTAGACTGACAGAAGAGTCCAGTTAATGGGAAAAGAGGGCACATAAGATATTGAAATTACTAAAATTTCAGAATGCCATGAGGAGACAAAGGTACACACTTTGGTGCTAAAATTACCCAACACAGTCACTAAGAAGTGGCAGTCCTTTACAAGCAACATATTAGCCAGATGGCATCACTTACATAAATATTTTATGGAAGGACAATTTCTGCCTCAAGGACCAAGAATGGCCTATTTGATTACCTACTATGAAAGTTCAGATGATAATAAAGGCAAATTTTTGTAAGCATCAGCAGGCCTGGCTTTGGCTATCATAAAATATCCTATGAATATGGCCTTATATAGGGAATTGACATAATGGGGAAATATTAAGCCACTATCTTTTAAATTAAGGGAGCATTTTCCAGATATATTTCACTGTAAGAGGGCCCTAAAAAATATCTTTTGAGATTCTTCCTTACAGAATGCCTTTCCGTATACTAACAACCATTTAATTTAAGTTGTGCTATATGATTAACATTGACTACCCTGGCAAGGGAGAGGGATCAATTATGCAAATACATTACATCCTGGGATAAAAATATGAAGCCAGCCAATTTCCAATATTCAACTCAATTAAGACACAGGCTCTTCTAAGACTACGAGATGGAAAAATCATTTTTTTCCAAGTCAAATTCGTAATCACCACTTAGGCTTTTCAGAGAACAATGAAGAGGAAAAAAAGAACATTTTACTATAAAATGTTTGTTGCCTATAGAAGAAAACATACATTGGTGTAGATTTTTTACTTTACATATTTTTAGTGACCCATATTTCCTCTAAATCAAAATGGAAAACTATAGCAAACAATTAGAAGAAACCTAATCTGGTACAGCTGTTTTAATGGTCAGCTTCTTTCTAATATTCTGCACTTGTATCAAGTAGGAATAATAAAAACATTCAATATTCTTATGTGAACATTGATTTATATTTCCTTCCTTCACTGAAAGCTCAAGAGCCAGCTAGGATATATTGATCTGTTTGTTCACTTTCTCCTTTATAAACAGCTTCCCTTTGTGCAATATTCATATTACAGTATAATAACTCATACTGTTAAAAAAAAAAAAAAAAAGATGCAGGTGTGGTCGCATACACCTGTAAGTCCCAGCTACTCAGGAAACTGAGGGAGTCGGATGGCTCAAGCCCAGCAGTTTGTGTCCAGCCTGGGCAGCATAGTTAGACCCAGTCTCTTACAAAAAAAGCAACAACTCCCTCTGTCTTGACCACTTAACCAAAATTTCAAATTATCCTCAATTCAAGGACTTAACTGAATCACTGGGAGAAATAAATACAACATCTACATTTTAAACCACATGCGCAAGAAACTAAAAATCAAGGTGATCCTCAATAATTAATTAGGGAGAATCAGAATATTAAGAGAAAATTAGGAACTTGATATTTTAATTAATACCAATTCCTTTATGGTCAGTTAGCCTGTCACAACCAGACTAATTTCACTTTTATTCTGACCCTGTCTTCCCATCCACTTTAGTATTTGCTAAAGCCAAAAGGCAGGCAAATGGAAAGGACATCAAGACAACTCATAAACTGAACAAGTTAATCAATAGTCATCTATATTTATTTAGCTGTTCTTGGTACAACAGAAAATCCTGAGTTTCCAAAAAATAAAAAAAAGTATCTTGCTTCTGACACTAAAAAAAGGCAAAATACCTTATCAACTAATAACATATTACTCAGGGAATAATTTTCTTAATCATTTTGCTTATAACCACGTGTGATAAAGTTTCTTAAATGTATCTATTTATATTCCTATCTCCTTAGTAAATAGATCTTATTGAATAAAGTCATTCTTTAATGAGTGAGAATTTAGCATGTTACTGGCTCACTATTATCTTTCTATCATCTGATTCAGTAACATTCTACTTGTCTGGTAAACCTATACTACTTAAAAAGTAAAGTAAGCTAGAATGGCCAAAATCCAGAACACTGACAATACCAAATGCTGGGCAAGGAAGCAGAACAACATGAACTCTCATTCTCTGCTGGTGGGAATACAAAATGGTACAGCAACTCTGGAAAACAATTTGGCATTTTCTTACAAAATTAAACATAACAAAACATACTCTTATCATATGATTCAGCAATTGCTCTCCTTAGAGTTTACCCAAAGGACTTGAATACTTTTGTTCACACAAAAATCTGCACACAGACATTTACAGCAGTTTTATATTCATAATTGTTAAAACTCAGATGCAACCAAGACGTCTTTTAGTAGGTGAATGAATAAACTGTGGTACAACCACACAATGGAATATTATTTGATGCTAGAAAGAAACGAGGTTTTAAGTCCTGAAAAGACATGGAGGAACCTTAAATGAACTAAGTGAAAAATGACAATCTGAAAAGGCTACATACTGTGTGATTACAATTATATGACATTCTGGAAAAGGCAAAACTATGGGGACAATAAAAAGATCAGCAATTGCCAGAATTTGGGGTGGGGAGGATGAATAGTAGAACACAGGATTTTTAGGTCAGTGAAAGTACCATCAATATGTATGATACTTTACTGGTGGATATATGTCATTATACATTTGTCCAAACCCACAGAATGTACAACACCAAGAGTAAACCCTAACGTAAGCTATGGACCTTGGGTGATAATGATGCGTCAATGGAGGTTCATCTGTTGTAACAAACGTACCACTCCGGTGTAAGATGTTGATAATGGGAGAGGCTATGCATGTGGGGGGAGGCAGGGGATATATGAGGTATCTATGTACCTTCCTTTCAAAATTGCTGTGAACCTAACTGCTCTAAAAAATTAAAGTCTTTTAAAAAATAAAGACAGAAAAAAATAAAGCAAAAATGGTATCAAAGCAGCTAAAATAGACTTCTAAACATTAGAAGAGCATCTTATCTCATGGCCTCAGTAAGTCCCTACTTATTCTTATTTTTAATACAACACCAATGTACATACACTAATTGATGTTACAATGGAGACACCTGTAAGACACCATCTTAACCAACTAATCTAAGCTAACAACACCTGTCATGGCACAAATCAAAATTGTGTGCCTCCTGATAGATTCTCTGAGAGAAGCACAGTATCGCTTTTGTGGTACTCTTGCCAAAAATGCATAACCTGAATCTAACAATGAGAAATATCAAAGAAACCAAAATTGAGGGATATTGTACAAAATAACTAGTACATACTTTAAAAAAAAAAAAAACCCATCAAGGTCATGAAAGAAAAGAAAACATTGAGGAACTGCTCTAGACTGAAGGAGTCTAAAAGAGACATGACAACTAAATTTAATGCAAAGTCCTGGATTGGATCTGTGACCTATAGTGGACATTAATGAAACAAACTGTGAAATGTGAATGGAGTCTGTGGATTAGATGCTAACACTGAATCAATATTAACTTTCTGATTTGGATAGTTGTACTGTCGTTACAGAGAAGAGGATATTAGCACTTGGGAAGTATGAGAAACAGGGCATCACATCTGCAACTTACTCTCAAATAGTTCAAAAATGTCAACAATTGGAGAATTAGGTAAAAGTATACTGGAGCTCTAGGTACTATTTCTGCAACTTTTACATAAATTTGCACACACACTATTTTTTTTTAAATGGACAGTATTTTGTTACATGAAGTAGTGTTATTTTTCTCAAAGTAGATTCCCTATCAGGTCAATTCTGCCTGATTGCTACTAGTTAGCAATTTATGCACTGTTGTAGTATGTACAAATTATCTTATCCAATTGAGTATCCTAAATATCCTAAAGAAAGAAAATACCAGTATGTTTAATTTTGTTTGTGACTCATACTGTAAGTAAACTCTCAGAGCAAATTTACAGATGTACCTGCATGCCATAGCAAATTCCAAGAACAGGCTTGCCAATGGTGAATATTGCTGGATCAAACCAGGGAGCATCTTCTGCATACACAGAATTAGGTCCTCCAGAGATGATAATAGCACTGTGGATTTAAGGAACGGAGTCAGTAAAAAATCTCTAACTGCTAATTTTTATACAAGGTCTATGTCCACTCTCCCTTGTACCGCTGAGGGAGACAACACAGATTCAGAGATTTTTTTTATATTTTTGGTACAGTGTAGCAGATTCAGATTGTATCACAGACCATATTGTCCTACACAGCTTATTTTTACTGTACTTTACTACAATATTTTAGAAACCTAGTCTATCAATTTAGCATTCACTTGTGAATAAGCACAAACTTCTAAATAGATAAATACCAATGTTCCCATCTGTGAAAGTTACCATGGATTTGTTTTAATGTTTCCTCATCAATGAAAGAAGTAAATGAGAATTCTGGAGATGGAGAAAACATAGGTCTGAGATCCTAGGAGTAAAGCAGGTCACAGAAGAACAAGTGAAAGTATTATGAAGGCCCTGGATGGCTCAGAGCAAAATTTTCTACAACTGGGGTCCCCAACCCCAGGGGCCACAGGGATACTAGTCCATGGTCTATCAGGAACCAGGACGCACAGCAAGAGGCGAGCAGTGGCGAAAGCACAGCTGCTCCCAATCACAAGCATCACTGCATAAGCTCCGCCTCCTGTCAGATCAACAGTGGCATTAGTCTCATAGAAGCATGAACCCTACTGTAAACTGCGCATGTGCAGGATCTAGGTTGCAAACTCCCTGTGAGACTCTAATGCCTGATGATCTGAGGTGGAGCTGAGGAGGTGACGACAGGCCTGGGGAGCGGCTGCAAATACAGATTATCATTAGCATAGAGGTTTGACTGCACAATTTATGTAACGTGCTTAAATGACCCCGAAACCATCCCTCTCCTCCCAACCCTGGTCCGTGGAGAAATTGTCTTCCATTAAACTGGTACCTGGTGCCAAAAAGGTTGGGGACCACTGCTCTACAACAAACGATGGCAGAATGTAAAGCATTGATTGCCCAACTTTACCTGTTTAAAATGTCCAGCATACTCAACAGTTTTCCCTGAGATCCAGGAAAGGGAGCTAACATCAATTTTGCCCTATATGCCCTGCTCTCAGAACTCAGGCCTATACTATAATTTAGCTACACTACAATTTGCAGAGCATGAGTTAACTTGGGAGTCGAACTACTATTTAGTGTTATAAAGGAGAGCTGCAAACTGAGGCCTATGTTTCTCTCCTGGCCACTGATACATCTAAATGGCCCTCAGCACTCAAAAAATTTAAAACATTTTAATATTATGAATTCCACATAAAAATTCAGACTTCCAGATTTTATTTAGGAAAAAAATATCTAGCAACACTGGGCCTTCACTCCTCCATAGCAACAACCAACTAGAGTCATAGAGAGGCTTGCAGCTTCAGACTGTACATGCTCTCCAGTTTGCTACTACATGCCCACTCACATAAAGGCACATTTGTGTGCTTTACTCTATTTAAGGTACACTCAAACTCATTTTGAGTTTGCAGATAAAACTACTTTATCTATAATTCTAAGGAAAATACATTTCAAGATCTAATCAAAATCTGCTTACAAATTTATATTACAATTCACTTTTTAATTAGTGGCTACCTATTAAGTAAAAATACGCAAAGTATATTCCTAGGCTTATAATACATCCAGAAGAACAATATAACAAACGTCAAATTTATAAAAACTGCTCAGCAAGCTAGCGTATTTTTTTAAAATGTAACAATCTTATTGAGCTCAAAAGCACCCTTTGAACTTTAATAGGTAACATGAGATATGGCATACAATGTTTGCTACCAGATCTCCTGTAAAAGAGATGGAAGACAGCCTACTCAGATGATAAATGTGACATCTTTAAGATACAATTCTAAAGGGGTGTGGAGTTAGCCCTAAGGGTAGATCTGTAACCTATCGCCTTAAAAATACAGAAGCTAAAATGCTATAAAATACACTTAATAATCAAGACCTCTAGAATCTGTGTTTTATATTTAGTCTGACAAAGAATACCCACCATGGGACTGCCCAGCATCCGTCATTAATCTGCTAAACAACTCAAGGCTATTAAGATTCTTAGTACTATGAAAAAAAAAATGTGATGGACTTAGTCAAGGATAAAATTCAAGCACTACTTAAATCAATTATGAAAAGTCTTATCTCAATAAATCTTAAGAGCTAATCACTCTTTGGGTCTTCTATTTCTACTCTGCTATTCTGAAATTAACTTGCAATTACAAGGCCCAATAAGCTATAATTAATTCCAAATGCCAATTTTATATATCAGGCAGATTAAGGTTCTAAAAACAGGTGGGTTAAGATGTCTCTCATATCATAAATCTCTTATTTTAGAAAAAGGGTAGTCAAATAGATATTTCTGGAGAAAGGATTATAGCAATAAAAACCAGCGCCCGGGCATGGTGGCTCATGCCTGCAATCCTAGCACTCTGGGAGGCCGAGGCAGGCAGATCGTGTGAGCTCAGGAGTTCAATACCAGCCTGAGCAAGAGCAAGACCCCATCTCTATTAAAAAAAAATAGAAAGAAATTAGCTGGACAACTAAAAATGTCTAGAAAAAATTAGCTGGGCATGGTGGCACATGCCTGTAGTCCCAGCTACTCGGGAGGCTGAGGCAG